GGGGCAAAAGTTTCCATAGAGAGCAAAAGTAGGTTATGTACAAAGTAAAAAGAATCAAAATGGCATCTGATGCCTGAACAGCAAAAGTGGAGATGATCTTGCTATGTGCCCAGGCTGATTTTGAACTCCTGAACTTCTGAGCTTAAGCAATCCTCCTGTCTCAGGCTCTCAAAGTGCTGGGATTACAGGCGTGAGCCACCACGCCTGGTCGGAACAATGTCTTTAAAACTTCCGAGGTAAAATTATTTCCAACTTAGAATTCTATACTCAAACTATCAACCATTAGAGAGGGAAACACAGAAGCCTTGTAAAATAGCAGCAATGTTCTATTTTTTTAAATTGCTAAAGAGCACATTTATATTCATCTTATTATTCCTTAAACCATTATAGATATTTTCTACACACTATTAAAACTGTCTAGGTTGGATGCAGTGGCTCACACTTGAAATCCCGGCACTTTGGGAGCCTGAGGCAGGTGAATCATTTGAGGTCAGGAGTTCAACACCTTCCTGGCCAACATGGTGAAACCCTGTCTCTACTAAAAATACAAAAATTAGCTGGGCATGATGGTGGGTGCCTGTAGTCCCAGCTACTCTGGAGGTTGAGGCAGGAGAATTGCTTGAACCTGGGAGGTAGAGGTTACAGTGAGTTGAGATTGTGCCACTGCACTCCAGCCTAGGCAACAGAGTAAGACTCCATTTCATTTCAAAAAAAAAAAAAAAGTGGAAAAAAAAGAACTGTCCATAACATAGTTTAAAAAACAAAAAATTAGCAAAAATATCAAAAGGTTAAATGATGGGTACATGTATGTTTCTTATGTTATTCTCTGTACTTTTAATGTACTTAATATATACTTCAATAATTTTTTTGAGACAGAGTCTCACTCCGTCACCTAGCCTAAAGTGCAAGGCATGATCATGGCTCACTGTAACCTCAAACTCCTGGGCTCCATTGATCCTCCCACCACAGCCTCCCAAGTAGCTGGGACTGTAGGCACTCACCACCATGCCCAGTTAATTTTTGTATTTTTAGTAGAGACAGGGTTTCACCATGTTGGTTAGGCTGGTCTCAAACTCCTGACCTCAAGTGATCCACCCACCTCAGCCTCCCAAAGTGCTAGGATTACAGGCATGAGCCACTGTGCCTAGCCAAAAGATGCTTTTTTAAAGTTGCTTATATCTTCAGAGAGATAAGATAGTATAGCCATAAAAGAATAGGAACCATGAATTTGTATCATCATAATTTTGATTTATGTACAAATTTCTGCCCTTTGGGCACCAATATAAATTTTTTGAATTGGCTCTCAAATCATAATAGTAGGCCATTATCCCCTAGGCCAGTTTTGTTTTTTTTTTTAGACAAGGTCTTGTTATGTTTCCCAGGTTGGTCTCAAACTCCTGAGCTCAAGCAATCCTCCTGCCTCCACCTCCCAAAGTGCTCTGATTACAGGGGACTGAGCCACTGCGCCCAGCCCCCTGGGTCTTTTAAACTTGAAAATTTGAATTATATAGTGTTTCTTCCACCAAAATGCATCATTTATAGAGTTAAACATCAATAAATTTTAAATGTTAAATCTGGAATACTTTGGTTACGGCCTTAATTAAATCAGAGGAATGGACTAAATGAACACTTATCCCCTTCTAGCCTGTACAATTTTAACACCTTTTGGAGTTTGAGCTATGATATAGTTACAGATACGAATGTAAAATACATAATATTCTTCCAAGCCCATTATCTTTTTTTGTTTGCCCAGAATCCTTCCCTCGTTTTTGGTCCTAAAGGCTGACATAAAACTTTTATCATCCTCTGGCTAGAATGAGATTCTGGAAAGCAAAAAGAGTAGCAGGCACATACTCTTGGGTTAGAGATTGGTTTTCTTCCTGGAGCTACTGAGAAAAATCTCCTATTTGCTGAAATTTCTAAACTGCTAGCATGTAAGCTTGAAGTTGCTTCTTGCGGGCTTGCTAGGAATGCCTGGCTGAAAGTGAAGTCGCTCACAGACAGGAGAGCATATCAAAGCAGAGAGATCATTTCTTAATGACAATATTTGAATTGTGAGTGAAAATGGATCAGTACTTGAACTTTCAAATTTCACAAATGAAGAAACAAGACAAAGATTAACTTAGAGGAAAGCAAAAGGTTACATAGGAAAAAAAAAGAGAAATTATAAAATGCTACATGTCTCAGCTGTGAACAGCTTTTATGTAGTCATAATAATGTAAATTGTGAATACTGATTTAACCTAAATTAAAACATAATTATACCAGGTGAATGGGAGGATGAGAAGGATAGATACTTATGAAGAAAATAATGAGCAGAACAATGCTCATTCTAAAATAGGAAAACAATGATATTGTTTGGCTCTGCATCCCCAACCAAATCTCATTTCCAATTGTAATTTCCATGTGCTGAGGGAGGGACGTGTAATCCCCACGTGGTGAGGGAGGGAGATGACTTGATCCTGAGGGCAGTTTCCTCCATGTTGTTCTAGTGATAGTGAGTGAGTTCTCACAATATCTATGGTTTCAGAAGTGTTTGGAAGTTTCTCCTTCACTCTTTTCTTTCCTGCCAACTTGTGAAGAAGGTGCCTGCTTCCCCTTCCACTGTAATTGTAAGTTTCCTGAGGCCTCCCCAGCTATTCAGAACTGTGAGTCAATTGAACCCTTTTCTTTGTAAATTACCCAGATCACTTAATTACACTTTATAATTTAAGTTCTTTATAGCAGTATGAAAACAGACTAATACAATAGTTTATGCCCAGAGCTGAAACGTCATGAAGCAGCTATATAGGCATATTATTTAGAAATAAGACATGGCAGGTCTTGGTGGGTCATGCCTGTAATCACAACACTTTAGGAGGCAAAGGCAGGAGGATCACTTGAGCCCAGGAGGTCAAGAGCAGCCTGGGCAACATAGTGAGACTGTCTCTACAAAAACAAAATTTAAAAATTAGGTAGGTGGTGGTGCATGCCTGTAGTCCAAGCTGAGGCAGGAGGATTGCTTGAGCCTAGGAGGTCAAGGCTGCAGTGAGCTATGATTGCACCACTGCATTCCAGCCTGAGCAAAGTAAGATCCTGTCTTAAAAAAGAAAAGAAAATATGACAAAAAAACTACCTCCCACCTCTTCAAAAAAAAAAAAATTCCACTGAGGCCAGACTTGGTGACTTGTTCCTTTAGCACTTTGGGAGGCCAGGGTGGGAGGATCATTTGAGCCCAGAAGTTCAAGACCAGCCTGGACAATATAGTAAGATACTGTCTCTATAAAAGCAATTTTTTAAATTCCACTGAAAGAATTAGAAATTACTGGTTGGGGCCCTTGGTAGTCCTGTTTTAATGTAGAAATTCAGATCCTTCAGTTCTGACATATGTTCTTGATTTACTTATTTGATTATTTTCTCCTATCCATTTTCTCTTATCTCCTTTCCTAAATTTTTTCTTCTTCTTCTTAAAAAAAAAATCCTCAGATTTCTTTTACCATTTGAAATACCTGTTATTCAGATATTGAACTTCTTGCACTGGTCCTTTAGTCCTCTAAATCTTTTCTCTATGTAATTTTCCTTCTCATTGTCTTTTCGCTCTACATTGTGAGAGATGTCCTCAATTTATATAGTTGTCTTTCAACTCTTGTTTTTTTGTTTTGAGTCAAAGTCTAACTCTGTTACCCAAGCTGGAGTGTAGTGTTGCTATCACAGCTCACTGCAATCTTGACCTCCAAGGTTCAGGTGATACTCTTACCTCAGTCTCCTGAGTAGCTGGGATTACATGCATGCACCGCCACGCCCAGCTAATTTTTGTATTTTTTTGTAAGGACAGGGTTTCAGTATGTTGGCCAGGCTGGTCTCGAACTCCTGGCCTCAAGTGATCCATCCACCTCGGCATCCTAAAGTGCTGGAATTACAAGTGTAAGCCACAATGCCCAGCCTTCAACTCTTCTACTGAGTATTTTTTTTTTAATTTATACTCTCGTGATTTGAATATCGAAGATGTCTTTCTTATTATTTTTAGACAGACAGATGATAGATAGATAGATAGATAGATAGATAGATAGATAGATAGATAGATAGATAATCAACCTGTTCTCTTTTATGGATACAGCATTCAGAGACATGAAAGTATTCCCATTTTCTCCTCCTGCCTGTATCCATCCCTTCAATGTTGTTTTAATCTACTTGTTGCCCTCTCTGTCTTTCAAATAAGAGGATCCTCTCAGATGTTGAATGACTTTGGATTCTCTAAGGGCAGGTGACTAGAAAGCTAATAGGGAGCTCTGAGCATCTTCTGTGTGCACTACATTTAGGGGAACCTTTGCTCTTGGTGGGTGATATGGATGACCCATTTCTTTGAAGGAACTCTCTCTGATATCAAGATCTTTAGGTCTTCTTGGCTTATCAGATTCCTCAGACATGACTTTTCCACTCTTCAGCCTAGAGAGAGTAGAGGCTGGAGGCAAACATTCTGGGAACTAAGGATAAGAAGAAAAGCTGACTTGTTAGAATACATATTAAAAATCACTTAATTACACTGCTCTTAGAAGAGTAGCCCCTAGCTTCAATGTTGCCTAGTGTCTTCCATTTCCAATACCCTCTTTCGAATAAACCTGCAATATTTTGTCCTTGTTGGGCCTACACTATTGATCCACTATACAGAGTAGATGTAACAGTCTCCTGTTTATAGGCTCACATTCGCCTTAGTTCAAAAGCACCTAGTGCCAATAATTTTGACCCTCTAGGAAATCTGACATGAAAATGTACTTCTCTACTTCCCCCACAGTTGGTTTCTAAAGTTTTCACAAGCAGTTACTACATCTGTGTTTGCGTGTCCAAAATTTCCTTATATTGACTCCTTTTTTTGTCCTCTTTGTCTTTATGGGTTTGTTCCTTTTCGTAAATCACTTTTCTGTCATTTTAATGAAATTCTAGAGAGAAGGTAAACACAAACACACATTTGACTCTTTATCTTTATCTAGAACTCTATTCTTTATTTTTCATTATTTTAGCGATTACAGCAAACACTCCAGAAGCTATACGTAGTAGGACTTTACAAAATATCCAAAGATATTCTAAACCACCTGTTAAGGTGGTTTAGATTTAGCAGATCTAGGCTAATTATGAAAACTCCTATTTGGTTCTCAAAATTTTACTAAGCTATTATTAACTTATACAGCAGTTTATGCATTGCTTAAATTGACTCAGAAAAAAATGTCCCTCTCATTTTGTAGGTCCTAAAACTGAATTGTTCTATACATAATTTCCTTCACATTTTGAATTCAATGAGAGATTTTTTCACTAATTTAGGCAAATTTATTCTTTATTTTTCACCAGAATGTTTGTTTATCTATCTATCTAGCTAGCTTGCTAGCTATCATCTATCTATAAAATATGGTATGGATTTTTTCCCCTCCATGATGGTTAATATTGAGTGTCAATTTGATTGGATTGAAGGATATAAAGTATTGTTCCTGGGTGTGTCTGTAAGGGTGTTGCCAAAGGAGATTAACATTTGAGTCAGTGGACTGGGAAAGGCAAACCCACCCTCCATCTGGGTGGGCACCATCTAATCAGCTGCCAGCACAGCCAGAATAAGAGCAGGCAGAAGAATGTGAAAAGACTAGACTGGCTTAGCCTCCCAGCTTACATCTTTCTCTCATGCTGGATGCTTTCTACCCTCGATCATTGGACTCCAAGTTCTTTAGCTTTGGGATTCGGAGTGGCTTCCTTGCTCCTCAGCTTGCAGACAGCCTATTGTGGGATCTCATCTTGTAATCATGTGAGTGAATACTCCTTAATAAACTCCCCTTTATATATACATCTACCCCATTCATTCTGTCCCTCTACAGAACCCTAATACACCCTCCAAATTTCATGTCAAAATATAATCCCCAGTGTTGGAGATGGGGCTTGGTGGGAGGTATGTGGGTCATGGGGGTGGATATCTCTGGCATAGTTCTTTTCTCTTGGGTATGAATGAGTTCTTGCTCTATGAATCTGTGCAAGATCTGGTTGTCAAAAAGAACCTGGAACTTCCTCCTCTCTCTGTTGCTCCCTCTGTTGCCATGTGGTATGCCAGCACTCCCTTCACCTTCTGCCGTGATAATAAGCTTCCTGAAGCCTCACCAGAAGCTGAGCAAATGCTGGTGCCATGGTTCTGGTATACCCTGCAGAACTGTGAGCCAAAGAAACCTCTTCCCTTTATAAATTACCCAGACTCAGATATTCCTTTCTAGCAATGCAGACTAACACAATATAGTCAATTGCTTTTTTTGTGGCATATAAATAAGAGGCAAGCCTAAAAAATTATATTTTCAATAAAGTCTCCATTCTATTTTTATGATAAAAATTATTTTATTTTACTAATTTTTCCAATTACTTATTCAAAGGACTACTTCCAGGTACATCTTAGTATAAATTCAATGTTTATAGAATTTATAGAGTTAGGCCAGGTGCAGTGGCTCATGTCTGTAATCCCAGCACTTTGGGAGGCCGAGGTGGGTGGATCACCTGAGGTCAGGAGGTCAAGACCAGCCTGGCCAACATAGCAAAATCCTGTCTCGACTAAAAATACAAAAATCAGCTGGGTGTTGTGGTGGTTGCCTGTAGTCCTAGCTACTCAGGAGGCTGAGGCAGGAGAATTGCTTGAACCCAGGAGGCGGAGGTTGCAGAGAGCCGAGATGGCATCACTGCACTCCAGCCTGGGTGACAAAAGTGAAACTGCGTCTTAAAGAAAAAAAGAATTTATAGTTATTTCTGCTAGATTATAAGTATCTAGACATCAAAATAGGTTAATTTATCTTCATTTATTTCTTTCCATGTCTAATACAGCAAATTAAGGTTAAGGTACCTTAACCTTGCACAATAAATGATTGTGCAATTGATATTTCAGCGTAGTTATCATGAGGCAAGACTAAATGAGAAACAATCTAGAAGACTGATAATAGTTTTAAAGTAACTTTTACCAAAAATTTGGCACAACAACAACTATTATTTTTCCTTCTAATGAATACCGCAAAGAAGTCTTTTGCACTGTGTAGGAAGGAAGAAAGGTGATCTGGCAGAATGCCTAACAAGGTTGAATAATTAGTCAAATTGTATTTTTGAGCATTTTTCCTAAAATTCAATTGCGTGGTTTAAATGCTTGCTCTTTGCTGCTTTGGAAATCTGTTGATAAACGACATTGAAGTCCTTGGTGTGCACTTGTACAGGCATTCCTGTGTTTCTTGCCAGTGCCAGAAGGCAGAACTAATATTATTTTTCCTTTCTGAGGGTGAAGGAGTTCACAAAGATCAGCTGGCTGGTCAAGGCCTTCTCTACACTGAGATCTTTCTAACAGGTGATTGAATCATCACCAACTTAAGAAAATAAGGACTGTTTTCAATATATGTTTTCACTATCATTCATTTGCTTCTTGGTATCATCCAAAATTGATAAGCAATTTTTCCCCTTTTTGGGGGGAGGGTGTGGGAGATGGGTCTTACTTTGTTGCTCATGCTGAAGTGCAGTGGGGCGATCATGGTCCACTGCAGCCTTAACCTCTCCAACTCAAGTGATCCTCCCACCTCAGCTTCCCCATGTTGCTGGGACTACAGGTGCATGCCACCAAGCCCAGCTAGTTTTTAATTTTTTTTTTTTTGTTGTGGAGACAGGGTCTTGCTATGTTGCCCAGGCTGGTCTTGAACTCCTGGGTTCAAGTGATCCTCCGACCTCAGCATTCCAAAGTGCTGGGATTACAGTCATCAGCCACCATGCTTGATGAGTTGAATGATTCTGACAAAATTTGGTTCTTTAAATAAAGGTATCAAGAAGCATCTAAAGCTTGTATTGACCAACCTGAAATGAAATAGGAAGAACTAGATTATAAATTCTTTGAAGGCAAGAAATGCTTAATTTTCTCTCTCATATCTCATCACCCTATACCACTGGTGGACATAAAATAGATGTTCAGGCTGGGCACAGTGGCTCACACCTGTAATTCCAGCACTTTGGGAGGCTGAGGTGGGTGAATCACAAGGTCAGGAGTTCAAGACCAATCTGGCCAACATAGTGAAACCCCATTTCTACTAAAAATACAAAAAATTAGCCAGGCATAGCGGCAGGTGCCTGTAATCTCAGCTACTTGGGAGGCTGAGGCAGGAGAATTAGCCCTGGAGGCAGAGGTTGCAGTGAGCCGAGATTGTACCATTGCACTCCAGCCCGGGAGACAGTGCCAGACTCCATCTCAAAAAGAAAAAGAAAAAGAAAAAAATAATAGATGTTCAATATCATTGTTGTTTGAATAGGTAACAGATGTTTCCAAATGGGATTATTTTCTCCAATTCTAAATGATTTACTGAAATGTGCTATTTGGCTAATGTTAACTAATGTTATTCTACTGAGTATAATCTATAGTTCACATTTCTGCTGGCTAGTAGGCTTTCCAAAGCTGTTTACTAACATGAACATGATACCATAACCAGCTATAAAATCTGGAAAAGTCACTAAGAAACCTTTGCTTATTAGTTTACTGATTGATTGATTCTGATGTTTTAGAATTATATGAATCTAGACTATGCTTCTTTTGAAAGCCTGGATTTAATTTGGGAAAGGTGATCTTTTCCAGTAACAGTTTATTCCACTTCCAACTATACCATATAAAATGTGCATTTGGAATCTCTCCAACAGCAAATACAGATGTAGTTTAATCCACCCTCACTGAAGAATAGTCCAGAAACAAAAATATTCTGGGGCTCACTGATCTGTAAACACAAAATTAATGAATCATGTTCTGGTACTCATTCTGCTACTCATGTGATTTAGCCTATTACACAGTTAAATATTTATACCTTTGTCTGTAAAATAAAAATAGAATTGCTTATTACCTTCTGAATAGTTATAAGGAAAAGCCAATAATACAGATTTTAATAGCAATATATATGTGTGTATAGATGTCGTGACTGAGCATAAAAAATTATTAAACATTAAATAGTATATGGCACATGACTGGGCACTATGAAGGCTACAAATCACAGCTTTAGAAAGAAAAAATTCACCTTTAATTTCCAAAATTTTGTTAAAAGCTTTTTTTTTTAACCAAGTTATGTAGCTATGTAGTCTTAAATATTTAATAAAATACATTTATATCATATCAAGTAAACAATAAGAGTCTTGCTTGCCATCTTAGGGTAAGCAATGCTCTCAAAATTATTAAAAAATCTAGTTGTCATTAATCTTTGCAAATACATACAGCTGTAGTCTTCAAGAGTGACAACTTACGATTATGGCCTAATTACTGAGGCTTACCCTAGATAAGTACAAAATATTTACAATGGAATAGAAGAATGCACACAAACCAATTGCTTCAGTACAGATAAATTCTATGGCCACCTCCTGCCTAAACTTTTTAGTTATTTTTTTTGTTTTAGAGGAAATAATATAATTATCATTCTACATGCTCAATATCATAGAAGTAAAAATTGCAGTCTCCAAACCAGCTTTGTTTAGATGTGTTTGCAAATGTTCTTTCTGTGTGCATTTCTAAACCCTCCCACCGCCAAAGAAACACACATATTTGAACAGATTTTGCCACGCAGAATAAGTAGTAAGGAAATCTACACAACTACAGATGTTTCGATGGCTGGGCATAGTGGCATACACCTGTAATCCCAGCACTTTGGAAAGCTGAGGCAGGTGGATCACCTGAGGTCAGGAGTTCAAGACCAGCTTGGCCAACATGATGAAACCCATCTCTATAAAAATACAAAAAAATTAGTCAGGCATGGTGGCACGTGCCTGTAATCCCAGCTACTCAGGAGGCTGAGACAGGAGAATCGCTTGAGCCCAGGAGGCAGAGGCTGCAGTGATCCAAAGTTATGCCACTGCACTCCATCCTGGGCAGCAGAACAAGAATCTATTAAAAAAAATTATAGACATTTCAAAAACTTAGGGTAACTGATATAGAACATAAAGACTTAGAAATTGGTTTTTCTAAGTTCTTTGTACTTCGTGAGCTACCCTTTGGTGGACACTTCTAAATGTTCTAACATTGTATAGAATATTTTTATACCAACTATTCATGCTTTAAAATGCTTGTTATGGTCTTGTGGAAATATGGAATATGGAAAATATTATGCCTTTAATATTTGATACCTTTAATTAGGCCAAAAGGCAGGCAACCTTGAGCATGAGTCAACCTCTCATACCCTTTCTTCTGCTTGATCCATTCTGCTATTTAAACTTGTGCATATTTCACTAGGTTCTCATGTTGTATTTTTCAACTCCGTTAGTTCATTTATATTCCTCTCTATATTGTCTATTCTTTTCAGCATTTCGTCAAACCTTTTTTCAAAGTTCTTCGTTTCTTTACATTGGGTTAGAACAAGTTCTTTTAATTCCCAGAAGTTTCTTATCATCCACCTTCTGAAGCCTACTTCAGATAATGGAACACAGTCCTTTTCTATCAGGGCTTGTTCCGTTGCTGATGAGGAACTGCAATCCCCTGTAGAGGGAGAGGGGTTCTGATTTTGGGTATGCTCGGCCTTCTTAGGCTGGTTTTTTCCCTTTATTATAAATTTATCCATCTGTTGTCTTTATAATTACCGCCTTTCTAATTAGGTTTCTGAGTCGACATCCAATTTATTGATTCCCAGTGCTGGGATTCAAGCAACCCACTGCCCCGGCCAAAATAGCAGCGATAAGACTGATGGTGCTCTTCTGCCTGGGAATCTCTGGTCTAGCTTCCTTCTTGAGTCCGCAACAAGCAGCTCTGCCTTCCTGGAGCTCCAAACACCGGTCAGTAAGGGAACCAGTTCAGTTTACTCTGCAAGAAGAGCTGTAGCGCCAAGGCACCGGCAAAACCGCTGCACCGGCCAGAAGAGTCGTGCTGGCGACCCGTGGGGCTCCTCTACTAGAAATCTGCTGGTCCGTGAGCAACAAAAATTCATCTGAAAGTGTGGCGTCCTCTCGTTCTCTGAGCTTTCACTGGGAGCTACAATCCTGAGCTGTTAGTGATCAGCCATCTTGGATCTCTCTCTCATTCAACTTAATGAAATAAAACGACAAGACAAGAATAGAGAAAAAAGGATGAAAAGGAATGAGCAAAGTCTCCAAGAAATATGGAACTATGTGAAAAGACCCAATCTATGTTTGATTGGTGTACCTAAATGTGATGGAGAGAATGAATCCAAGCTGGAAAATACTTTTCAGGACATTATCCAGGAAAATTTTCCCAATCTAGCAAAGCAGGACACTATTCAACCCCAGGTAATACAGAGAACACCACAAAGATATTCCTCAAGAAGACCAACCCCAAGGCACATAATCATTAGATTCACCAGGATCAAAACGAAGGAGAAAATACTAAGGGCAACCAGAGAGAAAGGCCAGGTTACCCATAAAGGGAAGCCTATTAGACTTACAGCAAATCTCTCAGCCGAAACCCTACAAGCCAGAGGAGAGTGGGGGCCAATATTCAACATACTTAAAGAACAGAACTTTCAGCCTAGAATCTCATATCCTGCCAAACTAAGCTTCACAATTGAAGGAAAAATAAAATCTTTTATGAACAAGCAAGTACTCAGAGATTTTATTACCACCAGGCCTGCTTTACAAGAACTTCTGAAAGAAACATTATACATAGAAAGGAACAACCAGTATTAGCCTTTCTAAAAATATACCAAAAAGTAAACAGCATCAACATAAAGAAGAATTTACATCAACGAATGGATAAAATAGCCAGTTAACATCAAATGGCAGTAACCCTAAATTTAAATCGACTAAATCCCCCAATCAAAAGATACAGCCAAAACCTAACAAAGGTACATCCAAAGGTACACAAAGACTCAAAACAAAGGGTTGGAGAAAAATTTACCAACCAAATGGAGAGCAAAAATAAATAAATAAACAAAAATCAGGAGTTGCAATTCTCACATTTGGTAAAATAGATTCCAAAGCAACAAAGATACAGTGGTAAAAGGATCAATGCAACAATAAGAGACCTTAATACCCAGATACATAAGACCCATAACGAGATTTAGACTCAACAAGACAGAAAATTAATAAGGACATCCAGGACTTCAACTCAGATCCGGAACAAGTAAACTCAATAAATATTTATAGAGTTCTCCATTTCAAATACACAAAATATTGATCGGCCATTATTAATACCCATTTTTAGAATGAAGCAATATTCCTGTTCTCTCTCCCTCTGTTTCTTCCTCTTTCTTCCTCTCCTTCTCTCCTTTTTTTTTACTTTTCAACATCCTAGTTCCTCACCTCTACTCAATACATTCCTCTGAACACCTGATTCCTTGTGATTCTCCCATCCCACTGAAACCTCCAATCCAAAAAAAAAGAAAGAAACCAACTTATAGCCAACAATTTCTCCTTCTGATTTTTTTCATAAACACTCCAGTTTTTACCTAGGACAAATTGGTTTCAGAGTATTACACTCTATCTTCTCTATTTTCACCTAAATACTTTTCTATATATTAAAAAAAAGAAAAGAAAAAAGGAAAACTTGGGGGGAATATTCAATGTCCATCAACAGAAGAATAAGTAGGAAAATATACATATATAAAGAAAATACTACTACAGAGGTAGTAAAATGATCAGCCAGAAGTACATGAATCAATATGAATTAATGTCAAAAATATAATATTAGTAGAGTAGTCATAATATTTGTATAAACATTTTAACAAAAAATTTAAAACTACTGAAATAAACAGTTTAACTAGAAAATACAGAATAAAGCCTTAAAATATGTGTGGAATTAATAACCATCAAACTCATGAGAAAGATTAACTCTGGAGACAGAGGGAAATAGAAATGAGAAAAAATAAACATTCTTCAACTAAATCTGTAATGTTTTCTTATTTTAAAAAATCTGAAGCATTTATAGAAAAAAAAAACAATTGATCGAAGAGTATGTCTGCTCTAGAATTAGAATTCATAGACTCTGATCCTAGTGCTTGATTAATTGGATTTGACGAAAGGGGGCATATATTTATCTGGACTCTAAATTTATAACTTATGGAATAGTAGGAATAATAGTTGTTCATCTCATACTTCACAGGATTGCCATGATTCTCATTTTACTTTTAGTTATTTTTCAAACTTGAGTAAAGTATTTTTATGCTAAGAATTCTAAAGTATTCACAAATTGGCATACAATCTATATATTATGTGTTTTCATAATACTGAATGTACTTCAGATTGACACATTAAGCAATTTGGTTTGAAGACATTTTGGATGATTAAAATAGTTTGAATTTGCCAGTGACCATGAGTTTCATCTTAGTTTCTTACCAGTATAACCGTATAAATTGTGCATTTTTTCTCTGCTTTTTTTCTTTAAATAGGTTTTTTTCCCCTGTGCTTAGAGGAAGAGTGAGTTCAGAATTAGATTAACCTGAATTTGGCTCCTCTTTCAAAGGACACTTCCAATTCATCTGGAATAATGTCAGCTCTACACACAGAATAAGTCCAGAATTCAAATTCTTCTGTCCAGCTACACTGCTACCATACTGGTCCAATCTCCTACTTGAGCAAATATAATAATCTCCTAGCTCATCTATATGTTTCCACCCTTGCCCTCATATTTATTTCCCATATCAGAGTGATCCTTCTAAAATATAAGGCATATTATGCCTCTCTAATGCTCAAAAGCTTCCAGTGATTTTCTGCTTCATTCATTTCATCCATTCCAAATCTCATTGGCCTACAAAGCTCTACATGAGCTGGGCTCCTTACATACCTATCTCACCTCATCTACCATTTCCCCATCTCGCACTTCACAGCAGCCCCACTGGCCTCCTTCATATTCCTCAAACACACCAAGGAATGCACTTTTGCAGGTGCTGTCCTCTTTCCCTTCTGAATGCTGTTCCCCCAGGCATTTTCATGGCATCCTCCTTTACTTCTTTCAGATCTTGGGTCAAATGTCTCTTTATCTAAGAAGACTTTTCTAATCATCCTTTAAATCCAGTAACATATCACCTCCTTGCCTTTTTAAAATTTTTCTCTGTAGCATTTATTCCCAATGAAGACATTGCGTATTTATTTATTAGTTTGTAATCTGACATCCCCCCATTAGACTGTAAATTCCATAAGGCCAAGGACTTTATGTTGTTTATTTTTGTATACCCAACACCAAAAATAATGTTTGACTGGCACATAACAACTACTTAAAAAACATTTGGTGAAGAAATGTACATACTTATTAATTGCTTGACACTGGGCAAATTGAAAATTATTTTTTTCTTATCTCTACAATAGTGCTAATAATTAATAATTCACAGTTATTGAGATAACATAAAATGAAATATGTAAAATCTCTATAGCGTAATGCTTGCCATATTGTAGTTTTTAATACAGAATTATTTCCTTTCAATTCACTATGATTTATTCCACAATTTGAGCTTTGAGAATGGCTACTTAATTTATAGAAAAATGTATGATAAGAAAAGGAATTTCACCAAAACCTCATAAAGGTGGGCCAACCTCTAATCATCTTTCAAGACTCAGCTCTCAAGTATTACTCCTTCCTTTTATTTGTTGGTTTATTTAACTTATTTATTTAATTTTTTTACAGAAGGGGATTCTCACTATGTTGCCCAGACTTGACCTGAACTCCTGGGCTCAAGCAATCCTCTCACCTCAGCCTCCCGAGCAGCTGGGTTGCTAATTCTGTGAAGACACTCTCTTTAACCCTCTGAGAGTCTTGACCCTTATATTCATTGTGATTCATGGTACCCTCTAACTGCTTTTGGGATAACAACAATAATTCCATTGTTTATCATTTTCTCACGTTAGACAAGTCCTTAAGGCCAAGTTTTATTTACCTTTGTATTCAAATCAAGCGAATATGCAATAAATGTATGTGGAATAAAATTAGGCATTTGAGGCACACACAAATAAGAATATATTTCCCAATCCCTATAGAAAGAATAATAATCTATGGAAAGCACACATATGAGAAAGAATTTCAGTATATGATTGTAAAGCCAAGGCTAAAAGTCAAGGGTCAAGTTTCCTGTTTTGGCATTATGAAGTGGTCAGGTGAACTCTTCTGCACATAATAATGATAAAAACTGGACAAAACATTTATTTAAAACAATGATTTGAAGACTCTGGAGAAAAACAGAAGCCGAACACAGTTTATTCTTGAAAGACTGCAACAGCAGCAGATAAGAACAGCAATTTGTGGCTTTCTTTGCCTGAGGAGAGTTTGCAATGTCCAAAGCTCCTGGGACAGAAAACTACAGTATTACTGGTGGCAGAAGACAGACTACAAAGCTTTCAGAATAGCTGGAATTTTAGGAGGAAATCTTAGAAGCAAGAAAACCACAGAAGAGATAAGGCCCAAATTCTGAATATAAACCACCCAAATCTCTAGCTGACTGCTAAACTGTGGATAAGTAGAAAACACCACATGGGGATAGCAAAAGATAGGTAGAAAAGAGAGAATAATGTATCTGCACATTGTGTTAGAACTATCTCAGGCAAGATCTGTGACTTTATGGCTCTTTGACAGAATATATTCCCAAACAGAATGAAACTGAGGCAGCAGAAAGCTGAAAGCTTAATGGCCTGAGGTGCCAGAGGAATTATTGGAAATTTCCGGAGAGTGAGAAAGGGTAGCTCTGAAATTAAGGGAACTACAATGACTGCAAGCTCCAAATTGGATTTTAAATCTTTCCCCAATCCTTGGCTAACCCCTAAACTACATAGATCATAACTGGAATCTATAGGTAGGAAGGAAGAATGCTGGAAATGGTAATTGTGTGAGTAAATAGATACGTAGCGTATAATACACACATACATTTCCTCACTTTATTTAAAAGATACATAAATGCTGAAAGAAAATATTATAGCACTTTGTTACTAATATGAAGAAGAAAGAAGGGGTGGCAGTACAGATCCCACAAACATTAAAATTACAATAAGGGAATATTTAAATAGCCTTAAGCCAATAAATTCAATGGTTAGATAAAACAAACTCCTTCAAAGATCCAAATTACTAATTCTGTTAAAAGAAAAATAGAAAATATGAAGAGTCAAATATGTATTAGAGAAATTAAATTCAAAATTAAAACCTTTCACACACACACACACACACACACACACACACAACTCCAAGTCTTTACTAGTGAACTGTATTAAACATTCAATAAAAGAATAACACCAATTCCACAGAAACTGCTTAAGAAAAATAAAAGAAGGGGTGAACAATTTTTGACTCATTTTACAAGACTCATTTATGTCAGTACCAAAACCAGTTAAAGACATCATAGAAAGAAAACTATAGATTAATCTCTCCTGAACATAGACAAAAGGAAAAAAAAAAATCTTTAAGCTATTAGAAAATCAATCCTACAATAGTTAAAGAGGATAACATGTCATGACCATGACCATATATTGGTAATTGCAGGATTTCTAACTTGAGTTGACATTCAAAATCAGTTGATATGACCAGGCATAGTGGCTCACATTTGTAATCCCAGCACTTTGGGAGGCCGAGGGGGCTGGATCACCTGAGCTCAGGAGTTTGAGACCAGCCTGGCCAACATGGTGAAACCCCATCTCTAACAAAAAATACAGGTGCCTGTAATCCCAGCTACTTGGGAGGCTGAGGCAGGAGAATCACTTGAACCCAGGAGGTGAAGGTTGAAGTGAGCCACGATTACACCATTGCACTCCACCCTGGGCAACAAGAGTAAAACTTTGTCTCAAAAAAAAAAAAAAAAAAAAAATCAGTTGATGTAATTCACCATATTAATAAAATAAATGAGAAAAATATGATCATTTCAATAGATACAGAAAAGGTATTTGGCAAACTTCAACACCCTTTCATGGTAAAACTCTCAACAAATAGGATAGAAAAGAGCATCCTCAATCTGATAAAGGGCACCCGTGGAAAACCTAGAGCTAACATCATGCATCCTATTGAAATATTGAGTATTTCCCCTCCAAAGACCAAGGGATGGTCTGCATTTATTACATATATTCAACAGGATGGTCTGCATTTATTACATATATTCAACAAAGTACTAGAATCCTAGTCATTACAATAAGGCAAGAAAAAAATACAAAGCAAGATTAGAAAAAAGAAGTAAAACTGTATATTCTCATCAACATCATGATTGTACATATAGAAAATTTTAAAGAATTCCAAATAAACTACTGAGACAAATATGTGAATTTAGCAAAATTATAGAATATAAGGTCAATATTAAAGAATCAATTGTATTTCTAGATACTAGCCAAGATCCCTTGGAAATGAAATTAAAGAAACAATTACATTCACAACAGCACAAAAAATATGAAACAGGGATCAATTAAACAAAATATGTGTAGTATCTGTACATTAAAAATTACTAAATGTTAATGAGAGAAGTTTAAAAATACTTAAATAGGCTGGGCATGGTGACTTGCAGCCACCTTCAGCCCTTTTGGAGGCTGAGGTAGGAGGATCTATTGAGTTCAGGAGTTCAAGACCAGCCTGGGCAACACAATAAAACCCATCTCTACAAAAGCAAACCATAAAATTAGCCAGGCATAGTTTTACATGCCTGTAGTCCCATCTACTTAGGAGGCTGAGGTGAGAGGATTGCTTGAACCCAGGAAGTTGAGGCTATATTGAGCAGAGATGGCACCACTGCATTCCTGCCTTGAAAATAAAAGAAACCATAAATAAATAAACAGAAAGATATACCAGGTTCATAGATTGATAGTCTAAATATTGTTAGAATAATTTTTTTGTTTTTTGTTTTGAGATGGAGTCTCACTTTGCCTCCCAGGCCAGAGGGCCATGGCATGATCTCAGCTAGCTGCAATCTTGTCTCTTGGGTTCAAGTGATTCTCATGCCTCAGCCTCCCAAGTAGCTGGGATTACAGATGCCTGCCACTACACCCTGCTATTTTTTTGTATTCTTAGTAGAGACGAGGATTCACCAGATTGGCCAGGCTGGTCTCAAACTCCTGACCTCAGGTAATCTGCCTGCCTTGACCTCCCAAAGTGCTAGGATTACAGACACCTTGACCAGCCCCCTTGACCAGCCAAGATGACAATTCTTCCTAAATTGATTCAATGCAATCCCAATTAATAGTTTAGCAGACCTTTGTCGAAATTAATGAGTCAATTCTAAAATTTACATGAGGCCAGGTGTGGTGGCTCAGGCCTATAATCCTAGCAATTTGGGAGGTCAGGAGTTCGAGATTAGCCTGGCCAATATAGTGACCCCACCTCTACCAAAAATACAATACTGGGTGTGGTGGTGCATGCCTGTAGTCCAATCTACCCGGTGGTCTGAGGCATGAGAATTGCTTGAACCCAGGAGGTGGACATTGCAATAAGCTGAGAGAGAGAGAGAGAGAGAGAGAGAGAGAGAGAGAGAGAGAGAGAGAGAGGAAGGAAGGAAGGAGGGAGGGAGGGAAGGAAGGAGGGAGGGAGGGAGGGAAGGAAGGAAGGAAGGAAGGAAGGAAGGAAGGAAGGAAGGAAGGAAGGAAGGAAGGAAGGGAAAGGAAGAAAGAGAAAGGGAAGGAAGGAAGGAAGGAAAAAAGAAGGAAGGAAGGAGGGGGGAGGGAGGGAAGGAAGAAGAGAGAAAGAAAGGAGGGAGGAGGGAAGAAAGGAAGGAAGAAAGAAAATAGAATATAAAACAAGAAGCTAAATTTTTTTTTTAGGAAAAAGGAAATGGAAAGTCACAAGGTAGGAGAAAGTATTTGTAACACACATACTCTAAAGAACTGGTATTTCAAATAATAAGGAACTCTTACAATTCCATAATTAGAAGATAACAATCCAAAACAATACTGGCAAAAGATTCAAACAGACATTTTAAGGAAAAAAACCCAGTTATTCAAATGGTCAATAGCCACATGAAAAACTGTTCTAAGTCCTTAGTCTTCTCCTTAGTCTTCGGGAAACTGCAAGTTAAAATTGCAATGATACACCTCTACAAACCCACTAAAATGACTAAAATTATATACATAATCATACAACCAGCCATTTCCTCCTAGATATTTGCCCAAGAGAAATGAGTACTACATAAAGATTTACATACAAATGTCCATAACATTTTTACTCAAAATAGCCCTAAAGTGGATACAATCCAAATGTTCATCAATAGGCAAATGAATAAACTAATTATGATGTATTCATAAAACAAAATAAAACTCAGTCAAAAAACCACAGAAAACACAAGTTAACAGTTGCATGCAAAAACACCGATGAATCTCAAAAAGTTTATGCTAAGTAAGAAAGCCAGGCCACAAAGAGTACACACTGTTTACAAAATGATCTGAAAAAGGCAAAAGCAATCCATCATGACAGAAAGCAGATCAGCTGCTTGGGTCTGAGGGTGAGGGAAGAAATGACTGAAAAGAGATGTTAGGGAGGCCTGTGAGTCACGGGGAGGATGCTCCATATCTTGTAGTAGTGGTTTACTCATGCGTATATGTTCGTCAAGATTTATATGCTTAAAATGAGTACATTTTATTGTATGTAAATTATAACCCAATATAGATTTTTTTAATGGTGGCTTCATAAGAAAAAGAATTACTCCATGGCTGACAGTAGTATTTTTCATTATAGATCTCAGAAAAGAGGGCCTCTTAGGGATAGGTACATCATTGAAAAATCTCATTTTTTTTTTTTTTTAATACCTGCAAACCCAATTCCACTGTGTTACAAGTTAACATAGCTGATAAAAGCATTCTGGTTAGCCTGATAAGAAAGGCAAATAAATCACACTGAAATCAAACCACTAGGATGCTTGTTAGGTTCAAGAGCTATTAAAGAAGCCCTGTCCCTCATGAACATAAAAAGCAGTGTGCTGGAGATGCAATCACCACAGAAAATAAAACCCAAAGGGCTGGGGAGGAGGTTAAAAGGGGGGATAGTATGAATACCAACCTGGCTCCTTTGCTGGGAACTCTTGTTATCTTGTTCTGTATTTATCCAGTGCTGTATTTAGAAAAGATTAAATCAAAACTGTGAAATTAAAACATGATGAGTGACAGTTCTGAGAGACAACAGCTGTGGCATTAGATTTTCATCATGTCAGGTCTGAGATCTGTATTTCAGGTCACTTTTTTCCATTGGCACTGATCCTGAAGGACAAAAATTATCTTTCTATTGGCTCTTTTCTAAACCACCTGTTGCCTTCATGAAGTAAAAGATTAATAGGGTTTAAATGGGAAGTGAGCCATTTCAAAGGATTGGGTTGAATGGGGTCTTCATAGAGCACTTACCTTAGGAGTTTAGGCAAAATATTATCTGGTGTCATCAGCAATAATAATCCCATGTGTTGTATTTCCCTCCTAGGTAGAGAAAATTTTGGAATCACAATACACATTTTAAATGCACACCCACAATTAGACAGCTGAAGAAATATCTATTGTTTTCTAAGGTATATGAAAAATCATATCTTTTGAAACAGTTATACCTAATACATTTTCAAGTAATTCCCAAGTAACTAAAGAATTCAAGGCATTATGAGAATATACATTTTTTCCTTCTTAATAAATGCGTAGGTCAGGGGTGATGGCTCATTGCAATCCCAGCACTTTGGGAGGCTGAGGCATGTGGATCACTTGAGGTCAGGAGTTCAAGACCAGCCTGACCAACATGGTAAAACCCAGGTTCTACTAAAAATACAAAAAGTAGCCAGGCCTGGTGGCATGCACCTTTAATCCCAACTACTTGGGAGGCTGAAGCAGGATAATTACTTGAATCTGGGAGGTGAAATTTGCAGTGAGCCAGGATGGTGCCACTGCATTCCAGCCTGGGCAACAGAGTGAGACCATCTCAAAGCAAATAAAAAATAAATTGCATAATTTCAAAAGTCATGAAACTAACCTTGTTATGGTTAGTTTCACCCAATCAGTATTTGGATATGACTTTGGCATATCTATATGATGGAATACTATCAGGAATAAAAAGAACCAACTACTGATGTATTGAGGAAAACTAATGAATCTCAAATTCATCACACTAAATGAGAAAGGCCGAATTCGAAAGGCTGCATACTGTCTGATAACACCTACATAGCATTCTGGAAGAGGCAAAATTATATAGAAAGCAAACAAATGAGTGATTTCCAGGGACTGTGGGGCCAGAGTGGGTTGACTTCAAAAGGATATGAGGTTGGGGGAGGTAGGAGGTACTTCGAGAAGTGAAGGAACTGCTTGGTATTTTGATTGTGGTGGTGGTCACATGACTGCATGCATTTGTCAAAGCTTACAAAACTATGCACTACAATGCATAAAAATTACTGTACATAAATCGTACCTTATCTTTTTTCAAAATAATATTTCAAAGAACTATTCTCTAAAAATGTGTTTTAATTTGAAGGAGGTATTTATGGTCATCCCAGGTATTGCAGATCTGGAAATCCTCATTATACTCTAAATGTACAAAATGAGTCATCAGGCTGTTCTATTAATAGAAAGTGAACTGCATGAACCAAAATATTTTAGTGGGTAAGGATAGATATAAGCCTTATAAAGAGTTGTAGATACCATTGTTGTGGGTTTTTTTTTTTTTTTTTTTTTTTTTTTGCACCTCTGTTTAGAAGTAGTGAGTAAGAATGAGAGGTGATGTATATTTAAAATTTTGCTCTTTTACATTTAGAAAATTAGGATACTTGATTGAAAGAAAACTAGGAACTTTTCACCAGTAGATTGCTACATTTAGTTTTGGAATGCTGTATGTGTGTCTTTTAATTATATTCATAAACTGTTAAAAGTAGATAGATTGTTTAGCTTGTGCCTATAAATCCTTTCAGGTTTTACAGCCTGAAAAAAACACCTATTTCTTCATCTTTTTCTCTGATGAAGCTCTAATAAGTTTATCAGAGAAATTCTATGGAAATGCAACTTCATTCTTTTTTTTTCATTTTCCCAAAAGATTTAGAATTGATTTTTTTATTTAACTCTTATTTAACTTCATTCTTATTAGTAATCTTTCTACAAAAAGAATATTTCAGCAATATTTTATAGGGATGGCATTCAGTACAGTATCTGGTAAAAAAAAAAAAAAAAATTCAAGAAGGAAGTAAACCTACTTCTCCTTATCACTTTCCTATTTGTACTAATGTCGCTATAATCCTAGAAGTCACTCGGGCTTAAAACCTGATAGACATTTTTGATTCCTTCTTCTCTTTCTCCCCATATCCGGTCATCTGCCAAGTCATGAGGCTCTAACCTCTGCTTTGTCTTGTATTGTCACCTCTTCCCAAGTCACTGATAACTTTTTGGTGGTGTCTAAACCTGGATGTATGTATGAGCCAGAAAAGGCATTTAAAAATAAAGAGATATTTAGGCTCATCCCAGAGGTGCTGAATTTGGGTGTCTACGTAGGGAACAGGAATTTGTACTTTCTGAGAGCTTCCTAGGAGAATGAAAGCTGCCTGTTTGCAGTGCCCCAAGAGCCTCCCTTCTCAGAGACAGAGAGACGTAGGAAAGAGGAACAGTGAGAAGTGAAACGAAATCATCCAGATAAATTGAACATCTTAAAGAGAACAGTAAACCATGATCCCCTTTCCTCTACTTTCAGCCACCTAGCTTAAAATGTTTGAATATCGGCCAGGCACAGTGGCTCACACATGTAATCCCAGCACTTCGGGAGGCCGAGGTGGGTGGATCACCTGAGGTCAGGAGTTCGAGACCAGCCTGGCCAACGTGGCAAAACCCCATCTCTACTAAAAATGTAAAAATTAGCCAGACATGCTGGCACATGCCTGTAATTCCCAGCTACTTGGGAGGCTGAGGTAGGAGAATAGTTGGAGCCTGAGAGGCAGATGTTGCAGTGAGCAGAGATCACACCATTACACCCCATCCTGGGCTATGTAGAGTGCCAGAGAAGCCCATCCGCTCTGGGGGGATCAGCAGCAAGTCTGATGTGAACTTTGGGTGAACTCCAGAGAAGTGAAACCATAATAGGAGGATGTGTATGTGTTGGGGTAGAACAGAGACAGGCCTAGAGAGATAACCAGCTTTTGCTGACCTTGCTGCAAGATAGTTGTTAGCTGAAGTGTGTTAACTGAAGTATGAGAATAATAACCACAGGCTGTTCTAAGTAACTGCACCCTCCCTCTGCTATGTGCTTTGTGAACATATAAAATAAAGTACACTGAGACAAGTTGGGGCCAGAGAGACTGACATCCTTCACCTCCTGGACCACCTGGCCCAGCTTTCTCTATGTTTCTGTTTGTGTTTTTCTTCATCCCCCACTTAGGTCTTTGAACCCTTGTGCAGTGCAGGACACAGTGTGAGCCAAAGGCTATAGAATGAGACTCTTGTCTCAAAATAAAAAAAAAAAAAAGGTTGAATATCAGACCTTTGCTTCAATCTAAAAGACTGAATATTCCTATTTAGTGGCATCGAAAACACTGGAAGGAACTATGGCAACTAGTGGCACTCTAGGTATTGATGCCCTAAAGTAAAATCATTCTGGAACCTGAGGACCTAGGGGTTTATTTACCCTAAATCAATGCCTCTCTGATGACTCTCAATAATATAAAAACGCAGCCAAGTATGCCTAGACATTTGAAGAAAACTGTCAGATAAAAGAAATGCATCAATAGAAAACCTTGCACAAGAAAACAAATAATTCAAAGAGCAAAATACTTTTTTAAAAAAGTTCCAATAAGCTTGTCAAAGAAATGCAGGGAAATTAGATGTTATAATAAAAGAACAATCAGACAATAAGGAAGAATTCTGGTAAGTTAAAAATAAAACTGCTGGCTGGGCGTGGTGGCTCATGCCTCTAATCCAAGCACTTTGGAGGCCAAGGTGGGTGGATCACCTGAGCTAGGGAGTTCAAGACCAGCCTGACCAACATGGTGAAACCCCATCTTAAAAAAAAAAAAAAAAAAAAAAAAATAGGCCGGGCACAGTGGCTCAAGCCTGTAATCCCAGCACTTTGGGAGGCCGAGGCAGGTGGATCACGAGGTCAAGAGATTGAGACCATCCTGGTCAACATGGTGAAACCCATCTCTACTAAAAATACAAAAAATTAGCTGGGCACGGTGGCGCGTGCCTGTAATCCCAGCTACTCAGGAGGCTGAGGCAGAATTGCCTGAACCCAGGGGGCGGAGGTTGCGGTGAGCCGAGATCGCGCCATTGCACTCCAGCCTGGGTAACAAGAGCGAAACTCCGTCTCAAAAAAAAAAAAAAAAAATGGAAAAAATAAAGAATTAAAATTCAGGCTTTCCTCTGACTTCTCATTTGCAATACTGTTAAGACTGAAGCAATGCTCTCAGTTTTTGAAGGAAAATGATTTCAATCAAGAATTCTAGACATCTTAAATATCAAATGTAAAAACAAAGGAAAAAACATTTTTAGATTTGCAAGAATTAGTAAATTTATCTTTCAGGCATTTTTTTTAAAGATACTTGGAGTGGAGAGAGTAAGTCATATGGGAGCCAGAAGACAGTGTCTCCAACCTAATATTGCAATATACAGAAGTCTCGAAGTAATAGCTGTGCAACAGGCCTGCAAAGTAATCAGTTCAAAGAGGCCAGAGGGATACCAGAGGCTGGAGTTCTCCTAGAAAGAAATGTTTCCATAGACCAAGTAGTATGTTGGAGAATTTTGGAAGAAATTATAGGCGATAATTTATAAAAAATTTTTTTAGAAACTCTAGGAAAAATAATAGATTGCTATTACACCTGTGATATGATAATATATACATACATTGATTTTCATCCACAGCTCCTGGCTCATAACTCCCATAGCTTTTGTTATAATACTTTGTTATAATATTGGGGAACTTAAGGCCTCAGAAGCAAGCCTCAGAAAACAGAATCTTTTTCTCTCATCTTCTCCTGCCTTTTTTTTTTTGAGAAAGAGTCTTGCTCTGTTGACCAGGTTGGAGTGCAGTGGTGTAATCTTGACTCACTACAACCTCCACCTCCCATGTTCAAGCAATCCTCCTGACTCAGCCTCATGAGTAGCTGGGACTACAGGCATACACCACCACATCCAGCCAATTTTTTCATATTTTTAGTAGGGACGGTGTTTCACCATGTTGGCCAGGCTGGTCTCGAACTATTGAGCTCAGGTGATCCACTCACCTTGGCCTCCCAAAGTGCTGGGATTCCAGGCGTGAGCGACCACGACCACGCCCGGCCTTCACCTGCCCTTCTTTTATCTGCTCCTTTTTGTCCCCAAGGGAAGATCCTAATCTTCCCCTGCCTTTCAGAAGTCCTTCCTCATACCCTGGAGGAAGAAATGCTGCACAGAAAGACCAAGAAAAATCTAAACAGACAGGCCTTGCTGAGTTTTCCCACTTAATCTATTACCGTGAGATCATGCTTTTGTGTCCAGTCACCTTTCTACATAGTTAGCTGTCATGCCAATCCAATGTAGTCTCCACAAAAGACCCAAGAGAGCAGGATTTGAAGAGCTTCTGAATAACTGAACACGTGGATGTTCCTACAGGGTGGTGTGCTCTGCTCCCATTCCCCCAGGTCTTTTCCTATGCATCTCTTCATCTGTGTCCTTTGTAATATCCCTCATAAGAAACCAGTAAACAATATAAATGTTTCCCCGAGCTCTCTAAGCTGCTCTAACAAATAACCCAGGAGGAGGTTGTGGAATCCCCAGTTTATAGCTAGTTGATCAGAAGCACAGGTAGAACAACCTGGGGCTTGTGACTGGCATCAGAAGTGGGGAAGAGGGGCAGTTTTGGGGATGGAGGCCTCAGTCTGTGGGATCTGACACTATCTCCAGGTAGATAGTATCAGAATTGAATTAGAAGACACCCAGCTGGTATCCACTGCAGAAATGACTGCTTACTTGGTGTGTGGGGAAACCCCCCCGCCAATACTTGGTCAGAAGTGATGATTGTTGTGGTATGAAGGCAGATGAGAAAAGGTTTATGGTTTCTCCACACAATACGACATTATTTTCCCTGCCATAAAGAATATTCATATAGTCTTTCTTTTCTTTTCTTTTCTTTTTTTGAGACAGAATCTCATTTTGTCTCCCAGGCTGGAGTGCACCAGTGTGATGTCAGCTCATTGCAGCATCCACCTCCTGGGCTCAAACAATCCTCCCACCTCAGCCCCTACAGTAGCTGGCTCTGTAGGTGTGCTAAATTTTTCTATTTTTGTTGTAGAGCTGGGATTTTGCCATATTGCCAGGCTGGTCTTGAATTCCCGAGCTCAAGCAATCCGCCCACCTCACCCTCCCAAAGTGCTAGGATTACAGGTGTGAGCCACCAAGCCCAGCCCCCCAGCCCATACAGTCTTTTTTTTTTTCTTTTTAGACAGAGTCTTGCTCTGTCACCCAGGAACCTCACTGGAACCTCTGTCTCCCAGGTTCAAGCAATCCTCCTGCCTCAGTCTCCCAAGTAGCTGAAATTACACGTCTGTGCCACCATATTTGGCTAATTTTTGTATTTTTTAGTAGAGATGGGATTTCATCATGTTGGCCAGGCTGGTCTCGAACTCCTGGCCTCAAGTGATCTGCCCACCTCAAGCTCCCAAAGTGCTGGGTTTACAGGTGTGAGCCACCATGCCTGAACTCCAATTGGCAAATTTTGACCATCTCTACAGAGACTGAAAAATAAATAAATAAATTTTTAAAATGCTAAATTGCATCAGCAGAACTCAAAGCACACACAGTTAGTGTTAGTCAATATGAAAGCTTTATATCAATATTATTTCTTTGCTTGCAGAAAAAAGATCACATTTAACCTGGAATAACAGTGACTCTGTTTCTATTATGCCAATTAGGCCCTTGGTAAACTAGCTCTAATGAGGAACTTTGGATCACTTTTCATTAATCTTGATATTGCAATTATCATGAAAACCATAATGAGGATTTGGAGACAACATAAAGATTACTGGGGTCAGGTGCAGTGACTCATCCCTGTAATCCCAGCATTTGAGGCCTAGATGAGAGGATCACTCTAGGAGTTCGAGACCAGCCTGGGCAACTTGGTAAAATCCCTATCTCTACAAAAGAATAATAGGCCGGGTGCAGTGGTTCACACCTACAATCCCAGCACTTTGGGAGGCCAAGGCAGACAGATCACCTGAGGTCAGGAGTTCAAGACCAGCCTGGCCAATACGGTGAAACCCCGCCTCTACTAAAAATACAGAAATTAGGTGGATGTGGTGGCATGCACCTGTAATCCCAGCTACTTGGAAGGGTGAGGTGGGAGAAACACTTGAATCCAGGAGGCGGAGGTTGCAGTGAGCTAAGATCGAGCCACTGCATTCTAGTCTAGGAGACAGAACAAGATTTCATCTTTAAAAAAAAAAAGGAATAAGTAAATAAAATTAGCTGGGCATGGTAGTATGTGCCTGTGGTTGCACCTATTTGGGAGGCTGAGGCAGGAGGATTGCTTCAGCCCAGGAGGTCAAGGTTGTGGTGATTCATGTTTGTGCCACTGCACTTCAGCTTGGGCACAAAGCAAGACCCTGTCTGAAAAAAAAAAAAAAGTTTAAAAGATTATTGGTGTCTTCAAGTAGCATAATAAAAGAGATTCCCTCATTTTCATCCACTGGCAATTTGGGTGGTTAGAAAGGAAAGATGAAATTTCAGCTTGAAATATAGGGCTAGCTGGATGCAGGGGTGCATGTCTGTAGTCCCAGCTATGAAGGAGGCTGAGGCAGGAGGCTAGTTTAAGTGCAGAAGTTCAAGGCTATAATGTGCCATAATTGCACCTATGAATAGTCACTGCATTCCAGCGTGGGCAACATAGTGAGACCCCCATCTCTAAAATAAAGAAATCAGTAAATTAAAATGTAAAAAGTACCGGCTGGACATGGTGGCTCATACCTATAATCCCAGCACTTTGGGAGGCCAAGGTTATTGGATCACCTGAGGTTGGGAGTTCAAGACCAGCCTAACCAATGTGGAAAAACCCCATCTGTACTAAAAATACAAGATTAGCTGGGTGTGGTGGCACATGCTTGTAATTCCAGCTACTTGGGAGGCTGAGGCAGGAGAATCTCTTGAACTCAGGAGGTGGAGATTGCAGTGAGCTGAGATCGTGCTATTGCACTCCAGCCTGGGCAAAGAGAGCAAAACTCTGTCTCAAAAAAAAAAAAAAATGTAAAAAATATATAGGACAATGATGGTAAAATCCAATGAAACAAACTGAAAAAAGGTTTATTATATTTCAAGAGAACGTATTTTATTGATCATGAGTGCAGACTACTATTTCAGGTGTCTTAGTGGGTAAGCAGCATGTGTTCTCCCCATCAGTATCTTTGTTGCTTAGGTTTCTTTGTAAGCAATAGAAATCAACTGAGACTAGCTCTGGGCCCATTAAAAATAATTTAAAATAAATTATAATTAACAAAAATAACAATATACAAATTAAAATAAACATTGACATTTTAACTTTTTAAATAAAATAACATTTGGAAAGATACTAGGTAGCACTTTGAACAAAAGAAATAGCTAAACAATGAGGCTCAGCGGGGTGGCTCACACGTGTAATCTCAGCACTTGGGAGGCCAAGGTGGGTGGATCACCTGAGCTCAGGAGTTTGAGACCAGCCTGGCCAACATAGTGAAACCCCATCTCTACTAAAAATTAACGGGGCGTGGTGGTGCATGCCTGTAATCCCAGCTACTCAGGAGGCTGAGGCAGGAGAATCACTTGAACTCAGGAGGCGGAGGTTGGAGGGAGCCAAGATCATGCCACTGCACTTCTGCCTGGGTGACAGAGTAAGACTCTGTCTCAAAAACAAACAAAAAACATGGGGACTTGTGGAGTATAGCAACTAGGGTTGCTCTGGGATTCTCAGTGGTAAAACAAACAAAATATCTGTTTGGTGTCTCTGATCACTACCACTAAAATGACTCAGCTTCCACCACCTTCTTCATTTTTGAGACTACACTCCATATTTAGATGCCTAGGACATAAATAGCCCTGTGTTTCAACCTTGGGGGAAGGGAGGTGGGAAAGTCAAGCACTGTGGCCAAGAGTCCTACATAGAAACTTCGGCCAGGATGACTTGAGGCTTCTCAAAGGAAAAGGGGAGAATTAATGCTGGGCAGACAAAAACAGATTCCTAATACAAATGGCCAAGGGCTTTTAAAAAGACATTACTACTATGTTTGAAGCTGCCCCTCTGGTCCTACTCTTATCCTTTCCTGGCATTATAAGGATTCCCTTCTCTTTCTTGCCCTGGTCCTATGATATTTTCAGTTTATCTGTCAATGTGGTAATTTTAGCCATAATTATTTTTTCGCTTTTCTTTTTGAGACAGAGTCTCGCTCTGTCACTCAGGCTGGAGTGCAACGGAATGATCTCGGCTCACTGCAACCTCCGCCTCCTAGGTTCCAGCAGTTCTCCCTGCCACAAGCAATTCTCCCTGCCTCAGCCTTCGGAGTAGCTGGAACTACAGGCATGAGCCTTTGTGCCCAGATTTTTCCCTTTTATTTAGAGCTTACTTTCTATGGTCAAACTAAATCTTTGTGGTCGAAGTGTGTTTTGCCTTGTACCATAGGTAGATTGAAACGTGAGATTTTGTATGTTTGTTCAGTAGTAGGCTATAGATTTGACTATTATCATTAGTAACTACTGAGTTCTTACTTTCAACTCGGCATCATGTTATAAAGAGATGCTAAGTTGCCCTTGAGGCTGGGTGCAGTGAATCACATCTGCAATCCCAGCACTTTGGGAGGCCAAAGCAGGTAGATCACTTGAGGTCAGGAGTTAGAGATCAGCCTGGCCAACATGGTGAAACCCTGTCTGTACTAAAAATACAAAAAAAGAAAAAAAAAATTAGCCAGGCATGGTGGCATGCACCTGTAATCCCAGCTAATTGGGAGGCCGAGGCAGGAGAATCACTTGAACTTAGGAGGCAGAGGTTACAGTGAGCCAAAATCACGCCACTGCAACAGAGACTGTCTCAAAAATAAATAAAATTTAAAGATAAAATATGATTAGGTTAATTTAAAATAATGCTTATTTTTTAATGTGATTTTTCACATAATGCATTTCCATTCATTAATAATAAAATCTCCACATCTCCCTGTTACGGGATAAATAGCTTCCCCCAAAGTAATATATTGAAATCCTACATCCTAGAACCTATCAAGGTGACCTTATTTGAAAATAGGACCTTTGCAGATATAGTCAATTTACAATGTATTCACTGGGCCCTAATCCAACATAACTGTTGACCTTATAAGAAGATAATGTAGGCCAGGTGCAGTGGCTTACCTCGTAATCCCAACACTTTGGGAGGCCAAGGCGGGTGGATCATGAGATCAGGAGTTTGAGACCAACCTGGCCAAAATGGTGAAACCTGTCTCTACTAAAGATACAAAAAAAAATTACCCGGGTTCGGGGGGTGCAGGGGATGCCTGTAGTTCCAGCTACTTGGGAGGCTGAGACAGGAGAATCGCTTGAACCCAGGAGGCAGAGGTTGCAGTGAGCCAAGATCGCACCATTGCACTTCAACCTGGGCGACGGTGTGAGACTCTTGTCTAAAAAAAAAAATAACAAAAAAACACAATTTAAAAGGCAGACACATAGGGAGAATGCCATGTGACCACAGGAGCAAAGGCTGAAGTAATAGAGCTGCAAACCCAGGAACTGCAAGTTTCCATGGTCACCCCTAGAAGCTGGAAGACACAAGGAAGGATTCCTCCCAGAGTTTCATAAGGAACATGGCTCTGCCGACTCCTTCACTTTGGACTTCTAGTTTTCAGAACTGTGAGAAAATAAATTTCTATTGTTTTAGAAATTTTGTGGTATTTTGTTATAGCAGACTTAGGAAACAAATACATGTCCCCTCCACAAGCAGACTCCTGTTTCTTCTTCTTTCCTCCTCCACCAACCTTAGATTGTAACTCTTACAATTACTATGAGACAGTGGTTCCAAATTTTAATACACACACACATCACCTTGGGATCTTGCTAACATGCAGATTCTGATTCAGTAGTGATGGATGGGGTCTGAGAGTCTGTTCCCAGATGATGCCCATGCGGCTGGACCAAGGATCAGGCTTGAAGAAGCAAAGCTGTAAAAAAGTCAGCCAGGCCCAGCATGGGAGCTCATGCCTGTAACTCCAGCACTTTGGGAGGCCGAGGCGATGGATCACTTGAGGTCAGGAGTTTGAGACCAGCCTGGCCAACACGACGAAACCCTGATTCTACGAAAACTATAAAAATTAGCTGGGCATCCCAACTACTTGGGAGGCTGAGGCAAGAGAATCACTTGAATCTGGGAAGGGAGGCAGAGGTTGCAGTGAGCCGAGATCACACCACTGCACTCCAGCTTGAATGACAGAACAAGACTCTGTCTGAAAAAAAACAAAATAAAAGTCAGCAAGGAGATGTCTTTGTCAGGCATGTTTCAGATTTAGGCTTTTTTGGCCTTTTGCCACAATGCTAGCAGAGACTAAATGGAAAATCCCAGCAGAATGAAAAGAAAATAAAAACTCATGGAACTTGTGTCTTGTGCTTCTCCCCTAAAGAAAAAAGAAGAAGGAAGAAAAAGAAGAAGAAAGATGAAGAAAACAAGAAGAGGAAGAAGAAAGAGGAGGAGGAGGAGGAGAGGAAGAAGAAGGAGAAAAGTAAACAAAATATCCAAGGGGAAAACAGTTACTTTTTTTCTTTTTCTTTCTTTTAGAGACAGTGTCTTGCTATGTTGCCCAGGCTGGTCTCAAACACGTGGGCTCAAGCGATCCTCCTTCTGGCCCTGGCCTCCCAAAGTGCTAGGATTGCAAGCATGAGCCACCACACCTGACCTAAAAATTTCAAAATAGACCTGCAGATTATTGGCCAATTAACCCCCTCTTCCCACCTACACAAAAGATGTAGAATACAAATATTTCAAACCTGTTTTCTAAATAAGTGAATTTATGAATGTAATAGTGAGTTGATATTTTTTGTGATCACTTTTAATTTTACTCCTTTGCCTTTTATCTCATCAAATTCCTTTTTATCCTAATTTTATTTTAAAAATGGTGATTTTGAAATGAAACAGTGCAGAGTGAGAGATGAGTGAGCATCATAATGGAACAATATAGGCCAACTACCCTGGAGTTACTGATGTTACTACTTGGGAATAGTGATGATTTTGAAAAAGTTCAAAGACTAACTTTGAAAGTATTTCAAAATGCCTATTTTTGCCTAGGTGTTGCTTCACCTTCAGAGATAGTGTGTTTAAGCCTGAAGGCTGGTCAAACAATTTTTTTTTTTTTTTTTTTGGTATAGCTCTTTGGGTAATTCTGACACAAAATCACATTGGGGAAATATCACTCGGAAATAAAGAAAATTTATAGAAACTTGATTTTATTTGATAAACAAGCTTCTAATTAAAAAAAAAAAAAAAAAAAAAAAGAGCTGGCCAGATACAGGGGTGCATCCCTGTAATCCCAGTACCTTGGAAGGCCAAGGTAAGCGGATCCCTTTAGCCCAGGAGTTCGAGACCAGCCTGGGCAACATGTAGAAACCCTGTCTCTACAAAAAATACAAAAATTATCCAGGCCTAATGGCACATGCCTGTATCCCCAACCACTCGAGAGGCTGAGGTGAGAGTATCACCTGATCCTGGTGAGGGTGAGGCTGAAGTGAGCCCACCACTTCGCTTTATGCCTGGGTGAGAGAGTGCGACCATGTTTCAAAATAAAAATAAAAAAGGAAGAAAGAGAAAAAGAAAGATCAGAATGGTGTTGCATGCCTGTAGTCCTATCTACTGGAGAGACTGAGGCAGAAGGGTTCCTTGAGCCCAGGAGTATGAAGCCAGCCTGGGCAACACAGCAAGAGTTTCTCTCTCTTTAAATAAAAAAAAAAAAATAAAAACAAAGAAATCTGTCTATATTAATACACAGTTAATGCAAATAATATATAAAAGCCAAATCTGGAAATATTTTTCCTTCCATCAGAACATAAACATCAATTTTAGAACACAGTGCTCTAGATTGTAAGGAGTTCTAGAGTCTACATAGTATAATGTCTCACATCCTCGTCCTCTTGCTAGTAGTTTTCAAACGTAGGTGTACCTAAGATTCACTGCTAGGTAACTGGCTAATACGATGAATTATTTCTAGGCCCCGCCCTGAGGACAGGTGCCTCCGTGTCCCCCACCCTCCAGGACATTCCGAGTCTGTAATGGGACGTGAGCTTCGAGAATCTGCATTTTTTTTTTTTTTTTTTTTTACCGTGGCGCATTTGATGCAGGCGGCTCCTGGTAAAGTGGAAGAAATGCCGCTCTACTGCCGCGCTGCAGATTGAACGCCCGGGAAGAATAAATGAACACGATCGCTCCTGAATACAGGTTTTCGCAGTCAATCTAAATCTGTCTCTGGAACTTTCAAAGGGGCCTGGCAGACCGAAAATGAGCATGGCATCTAATCAGCAAGTGGGATGGCAGATAAGAACGCCCTTATGAAGGCCCCAGTTTTTACAGTAAGTCCCTCACTGCCCGCACGCGACGATGCCAAGTTCCAACCTGATTTGCGTCACCACAATTGTGGGTTTGCGCCAACGTTAGTTAGCAAGCGTGGTGAGAGGATAAATTCACAAAATGAGGGACGAAAATAAGACGAGAGCTTGGTACAAGGGAAGTAAAACCTGGGTGGAGGTCACCTCGAAGTCACAGTGGATGTCAGGGATTTGTCTCAACACGCTTTTAATGAAAGAATTTGATAAGTGGACTATTGCACTCTTAAAGGCAAAGGAAACACAGCAGGGCAGTGGCCCGCTCGGCTGGGATTCAAAAGCAGTGAAAGCTGGCTTGCTCTGTTTAGAGCGACAGGACTGCTCTGCTGTGCAGGGAGGATTAAGGAGGCAGCTCTCTCTGCGAAGTCCTGAGCGCTCCCGGCTACAGGCGGAGCGCAAGCAGCTGACGGGGGAAATCCACTGGCAGCGAGTACGATGAGTCAGCGCTGAGTCACGCTCGCTCGGCCCTACGTGCCGGCCAGGGCGGCCGCGGCCCGGGTCCCGCAGCCGGGGAGTCAGCCGAGGTCCGCCGCTTCCTGGAAGACCCTCCCTGAGCCCGAGGGAGGGGGCGGCGCCGCCTTCTCGCGCCGCCAAGCCCCCCCCACCCCGCCCCCCGCAGTCACACACTGGCCCGCACGCACGACCTCCTCGCTCCATCCTGGGGACGTCCAGGATTCACCCCGAGGGGAAGAGTCCCATGTGACAAATGGTTAGAGCTCAGGCGGATGCTTTCATCCCATATGTTTCCTCAAAGCTGAGATTCCAGTTGCTCTTGCTTTTTTCGTGTTGATGTTAGGTTTTCAACTTTTTCCCCCGTTTCCTGGCAGAGGGTTAACAGGCTGATCTTTCTATAGTTTCCAATATTTTAAATGAAGCACAAGAAGACTGGATTAATAAAACGTGTTGAAACTTATGCATCAAATCGTCCCACTGCTCTGGGGTCTACAATGACTGGAAAGTGGCTGCAGTAGAAGCTTTGAATGTTCGGTAGCTGGGAAGGAAAAGTAACCTGGTTCTGATGTGCCGTTTGTTAATGAAAGGCAAATCTTTGATATTTGTCCAATCACCTTTATAATAACTAAATTTGTCTAAAGACTGGAGACATATTTGGTAATAATTAGAGAGTGAGTCACTAAAGAACAGGGTAGCCATGTCTTTGTGTTTTCTGTGCCTTAACTAACATCCTGTTGTCCTGATGTGCAAACAATGCATTGTTGGTTTTAAAAAATATTACGGCAATCTTTGTATCCATGCTGAAAGTTAATAGCAGATATTGTGTCACCAAGTACAGCTAGTTAGTGAGATAGTCCTGATACAGATGGGGTAATTATTATTTAGAGACAACTTGAGGCTGTTTTTCAAGACAGACTGTGTCTTTAGAAGTTGTGCCAGCTGTTACCGGTGGTTCTGCTTCATTGGGAGAATTGTTTCCCCCCTTATCCCTGTGTGCGTGTGAAATGATGCAAAACAATAGAGTGTTCGTGTAGTTTGACTGCTGTTCTTGCAGGGAAGGAGACTGAAATAATTAGAGGTTGAGCTGACTCACCAAGGTTACTGAAGAAGCATGACTACTCAATTTTGTAAAAGAGAGAAAAGTCGTCAGACAAATAAATTAGGAAACATGAAAATAAGAGAGATGATCAGAGCCCAGGAAAGTCAAATGAGTAATATGAACCAGAAATGGAATCTCATTTACTTGAACTAGTTGTAATGGGAGGTATACTTGATATACTAGCCTTAAAAAAAATAGTCAAATTATTGCATAAACATTTAAAATGTTAAGTAATTGCATACATCATTTGATGTTTTAAAAGCTGTGCCTGATTCTGATTCATTATTCTTAGCATATCTATATTGATATTGCCTTGGCACTTACAGAGTCAGACTTCAGTTCAAAACCCAAGTTCATCTTATAACAGTGTGAACTTGGGCTTGACCCTAGCTTCTCTAAGCACATTTTCTCCTCTATAGAGTTTATAATCACCATTTCACTTGTTTGCAAAGCCGAATTAAATGAGATGATGCCTATAAAAGGTTT